AAGTGTCTTTGAGTCTCAAATGAGTCTCTTGTAAGCAGCGTATCGATGGGTCTTGTTTTTTATTTATTCGACAGAGGTCACAAGCAGCCAGAGAGGCAGGCAGAGAGAGAGAGAGGAGGAAGCAGGCTCCCCGCTGAGCAGAGAGCCCGATGCGGGGCTCGATCCCAGGACCCTGGGACCAGGACCTGAGCCAAAGGCAGAGGCTTTAACCCACTGAGCCACCCAGGCGCCCGATGGGTCTTGTTTTTTTTAATCCATTCTGATACCATGTGTTTTGATTGGAGCATTTAGTCCATTTACATTCAGAGTAATTATTGAAAGGTATGAATTTAGTGCCATTGTATTATTATCTGTAGAGTCACTGTTTCTGTAGATTGTCTCTGTTCCTTTCTGGTCTCTGTTACTTTTGGGCTCTCTCTCTCTCTCTGCTCAAAGGGTTCCCTTTAATATTTCTTATGGGGCTTGTTTAGTGTTCACAAATTCATTTAGTTTTTGTTTGTCTGGAAACTCTATCTCATTCTGAGTGACAGCCTTGCTGGATAAAGTATTCTTGGCTACATCTTTTCCCATTTAGCATGTTGAATGACATCATGCCAGTCCTTTCTGGCCTGCCAGGTCTCTGTGGACAGGTCTGCTGCTGGCTTTATGCATCCACCCCTGATGGGCATTAGGGAGGGCACCTGATGTAATGATCACCAGGTGTTGTACGCAACTGATGAATCACTAAATTCCGCCACTGCAATTAACAATACAGTGTATGTTAACTAAATTGAATTCACACACACGATTTAAAAAAAAAATTTTTAAATAAAAATTTCTTTCTTGGAACAAGAAAGTAAAGCAAACACCCAGCAGTCACCGGGTCTTGTCAGTTACCAAATCCAGCTGGGGAGGCATTGCAGACCTGCTCCCCCACAGAGGGGTAAGTTCTTGGGTGATGCCTCTGGCAGCCACTGGTTCTGCCCTCTGGAAGGACCTCCCCTTTCTATTAGCCTATGTGGCATCTGGTGTTGCCTCCTGGGAAGTGATCCCTTACTCAAGATCCTCTACAGCTGTACCAGAGACCATGTCCTTGCAGACCATGTAGCTTCTATAGACCTCTTCCTGCCAGCGCACATCTGGGAGGCCGATCGAATCAGCTTTTGGTGACCATGTTTGTCGTTTCTTTGCCGATACAACACCCTCAAAATCTTTTAAAAAGATTTTATTTATTTATTTAAGAGAGGGACAGAGAGTATGAGCTGGGAGAGGGAGAGGGATGAGCAGACTCCCCACTGAGCAAGGAGCCCAACAGGGGGGCTCCTTTCCAGGACCCTGAGATCACGACCTGAGCTGAAGGCAGACACTTAACGGACTGAGCCATGCAGGCATCATCACCCTCCAAACCCTAAAAGGCTACTGACTGGTTCCATATTTGAGTAACCACAGCCAATGGTCTCACAGAGCCATGATTTCTGTGCCTGATACTCTGGACGTGGTGTACCTTCTATTCTCTCTCAAACTGCTGGTGGCTGTCTTGAGGCCAAATGAAAAAATACGCTTGGCTGTGAAGGGAGCCTCCCTTATTCTGCCCACTGGGCCAGCTCCCATGGCTGCTGAACACAGTGTGCTTGAGAAAGGTTTGGAACTACTGGTACAACCCCGGCTAAGGCTGCCTCTTCTAAACCACCTTTTATATCCAGCCTGAGAGCATCTCTCCTGTAGGTCTTTGCTAGTAGTTACAAGCAACAGCCAATGCACACTAACAGTCTGAGTGTTTCCTTCCAGTTTCTGTGACTTACAGGCTCTATTATGGCATTACAGATAATGGTCACACCAAATGTCTCGCTGTAATATAACAAGGGTCACCACCTTACCAGCGGACAGTACTTTTCTTGGCTATCTGCTGCCCAATCTCTAAACCAATGTCACTTGTTTTGGGCTTTTTAGAGCAGTGCCACTTACAGATATTAATTCTGTATTCATTAGGATGCACGTTTGGTTGCTGTACCAAAGACCCAATTTAAGAATGATTTAAACAAGAAAGTGTATTTCTCCCTCATATAAAATAGTCCACAGACAGTCTAAAGCTGGTAGGGTGACTTTGAAGCCTTTAACAAGCATCTTCCATTTTGGGTACAAAATAGCTGCCCTAGACCCTGCCATCACAGCAACCGTCCAGCCAGCAGAAGGGGTAAAGGAAGAGAAGGAACCTACACCTCTTTCTTTTAAGGACTGATCTGGAACTTGCTCACATCCCTTCTATTCACATCACTTTGGCCAAGATTAGTCACAAGGTCTCATTTAGCTGCAAGGAAGATTGGGAATCTGAGTCTTTATTACAGGCAGCCACTCACTCTCCAGCTAACATTCAAGCAGTTCTACTACTAAAAGAAGAGAAAAATAGATAGTGGGAGGCAACTGGCAGTCTGCCACAGAATGTTTTATCCTCATTTTTCATGGGTAGAAACAGGCTCAGAGCAAACAAGCAATGCTTTTTAAGGTCATATGGCAAACAAACAGCAGAACATGAATTTTAATCAGGTCCATCTGACCGTAAAACAGGTTTTCCATCACATCCAGCCAACATATTTTGGTCATCAAGGTGCCCACTGTTTACTTGAAGATACAGAACCTTTGCACATGGATAGTTATGTAAATGTCAGCTCTGTGTACCCTGAGATAGGCACATGGAACCTGCGCTATAGGAAGACCAGTGCAGTGAGAGTGATGCCATCAGGCAAGACCGTCCTAAAGAAGAACCCTCCTACTGGCCCTGTAGAGGGAACAGGCCTGAGGTACAAGGGGGATGGATCACCACTGGAGAAGGCAGTGGTATGATCTGCACCTGTTCTGTATCTGGTTTGATAGTGAAGGTGTCCTAGAGCTTAAGGATAGGGGGGTAGGTAGAAGCTCTCCAGGTCCAATTCATCACATCTCTCCAAGGATGGTACACTTGATCCTTCCACCAGTTGAGGCGTCCCCTTAGCGGTGCCTTAGACATTCCATCATCTGGGACAAGCCGGGAACAGGCTACAGGGATCCCGCAGAATGAGAGCTGCACTCAGCCCTGGTACTACCCAAGACACACACAGAAAGGCAAAGCCCCTCCCTTATCTGTTCTCCACCCTCCCTGGAGGCAGGACAGGGGCTTTGAGGGGTGATGAGAAGTGTGTTTGGTACACTCAGCAAGAAATCCAGTAATCCATTACTCAGTGTCCACTCCAGGGCCCGAGACTGGGATGGAAGAGCCTGGAAGGGGGAGTGGAGGGGCAGGCAGAGAGAGGGGAGCTAGAGCAGCTGCAACAGCATTCCCGATTTGGACGCTGACTCAGGCCCCAGGAATGCCCAGGAAGGGCGGGTGGGCAGCCACCAGAGCCAGGCTGGGATCCCTTGGCACAAGAAGGTGTAGGGACAGCACGCACAGAGGGACGTTGGGATCGGGGCTCCCACACGCTGGGACCTACCACCAAACCACCGGTAGAAACAGATGTCTCCCACCCTGGGCCCTCAGGGCCACTGCATAGCTTCATGACTTCTCCTAGTTTCCCACCTTCCCGGCCATCCCACCCCAACTCTTCAGCAGGGGAAGGGACAGGCTCCTGGGACTCCAATGGGGACATCTAGACACACAATGGCCCTCTCCTGGGACCACCCACAAACCCCTTGGCCCCAGCCTCCCAGCCGACTCCAACTTGCCCTTTTTAACTCCAGCATCACCCACGACTGAAGTTTGTAGGAGTAACAACGGTTGAGCTCAACTTGCCTCCATTTTTCCCTCCTTTGCCACCTGACAAAGATGAGAAGAAACCCAGGACTCCCAGAGCCCACCTCCTCCTACCGGTGCCCCCACCCCTCTCCCCACCCAGGGATCCAAGCCACCTCCCCCCATAGCAACGTCCTTCAAGCTTGTCCTTGAAGACCCAGGAGGGAGCCTAGGACCGAAGCCTCGAGATTCCAGGGGCGCCCCTGCCCTCCCCACCCCGCCACAGGCTCTAGGCAGGAGCCGGGGAGCCTGTGGGGCCCTCCCTCCTGCCGCTTGACACCCAATCAGAGCGAAACTGATCCGGGGAGGGCAAGGAGCCAGCGGCGGGGCCCAGAATAGTGCTGTGTGCTGGGTGTTGCGCACTCAATCCTCACTTGGTCGGGGTTGGCTGCATGGAGCACACGCTGTACCGGGTAGGGGTCCTGGGGGACGGGTGCTGGGGCAGCAGAGGCCAGGGGACGGCGAGCACACCGCTGTGTGTGTGCGCGCACGTGTGCGTGTGTGTGCATGTGTGCGTCTGTCTGTATGGTTATTCTTCGTGTAAGGGACATCTGTGGTTCTGTGTGCATCTGGGAATGGTTGAGTGTGTGGTTTTCTGGATGTGTAGAAGTGTGTGTGAGTGTGTGTGTGTGTGTGTGCGCGCACACTGTGGGGGGTGTACGTGTGTGTGGGCGTGCACACACACACGTGTTGGGAAAAAAAGCTCTTTTGTTGTTTGGGAATGTGGGACATGTTCCCACCACTTCAGGCCTTCTTCTCCCCACAGAACCCATCCTGGAGCCGCGTTGGGGGACCAGAGCATCAAGGTAAGTGGAGCCTCTTCTCCCACTTCCTTTGTCTCCCACCTTTGTGGACCCCCAATCTCCTCTGCTCTCATAGCCCGGCTTTTGTCTATCTCTCCTTTTCCTGCTTTATCCTCTTTTCCCTTTGTACCTCACCTCCTCCTTCATCTCTCAGAAGAAGAAGGGGGACAGATCTAGAATCTGAAGACTGACCCTGGTTCTGACTTTATCACTTACTAGCTGTGTGAACTGTGGAAAGTTGCTTAACCTCTCTGATCTCAGGTCCCTCTTTAGTAAAATAAGGATGATCATTAATACCTCTTTTATAAGATTGCTGTGAGGTTTGAGTGACAAATACGTAGGAGAAAAACCCTAGGGGAGCTTGCAAATATTAAATATTATTATTGATAACATTTTAATTGATTTTGTTGTGTTACTCCCTATTAACCAAACAGGCCCCATTCCCCTTCCAGAGATGAGCTTCCTAGAACAAGGAGAGAACACTTCATGGCCATCACCGGCCATGAGCACTGGCTCAGAGAGAAGCCATGGGAAACAGGGCACCAAGGCCTCGCGATGGACAAGGCAGGAGGCTGTGGAGGAAAGGGAGCTGCTGGGTCTGGGGGAAGGTGAGGCCAAGGCCAGTTCTGGGGGGTCGGGAGTGGGGGGCAATGGGCTGTGCCAGAGCCTCATCTCATAGCCTCAGTCTTTCCAGATGGGAAAGGTCAACTGCATTGCAGAGCCAGGGGCCTGGCACAGCCAACTCAGGACAGACCCACTGGCCTGTGTGACTCTGAGACTCCGCTTTCTCACCTGCAAAATGGGACCGCAGCTGCCAGGCTTTCCAAGGCTGCTGTGAAGTTGACCTGAGCCAGCACATACGAAAGTGCTCCACAAGACAGGCTTACTGTCCTCTGCCCCTCCAACAGATCCAACTGATTCCCAGGCCAGGCCACCTGCTGAGTACGCCGGGCTGGAGACCACATTCCCCGAGGCGACGCATTTGTCCCAAGCTGCTCCCTTGGCCCGGTTGGGCTCCGCACCCACAGAGTGGGACATCTTCCCCTCCGACGACGTAGCCTCAACAGCGGGCTCCAGCACAGATGGTCTGGAGCTAGACCTAGAGTTCCCGGCCACTGGGGCCTGGGGGTACGAGCTGGGCATGGTGGAAGAGAGGCCTGCCTTGTGCCCCTCCCCGCGGGCCCTCCTACCCAAGCCGGGCTGGGACGATGAGCTGCAGAAGCCGGAGGCCCAGGTCTACATGCGTTTCATGCAGGAACACACCTGCTACGATGCCATGGCAACCAGCTCCAAGCTGGTCATCTTCGACACCACGCTGGAGGTGAGGCCGTGGCTCTGCCCCGCTGCCCTCCGCTGGGGCTGCAGTCCCCGCTCACAGCCACCAGGACACCCTGCCAGGCAGCCCCTGAGAGTCCCCTCCCAGGATGCCTTCAGAGCACCCCGGAGGCCAGGGCTGGGGAGGGCTTCCCTAACCTAACTGCCATCCGCCATTTAGTATCCGTAGGGTCTTGGGTCAGTCAATTTACCTCTCTCGTCTCTAAAATAGGGATTGATCAGAAGGGCATGCCACTCTCGATCTTGGCATCATGAGTTCGAGCCCCACGTTGGGTGGAGAGAGTACTAAAAATAATAATAGTAATAAATAAATAATAAAACAAAATGGGGACAGGAATGCCTGCTTTGCCCTACAAGCTTCAGAGGACTCCTGAGACAACCCAGGATAAACAGGAGCACTTGCAAACCCCAGAGTATATGGAAGACACAGCAGGATGGTCTAGGAAAAACAGCAGAGAAATCTTGGTAATAGAAAATTAAGATGCGCTCCAGTCCCTTCTCTTCCACTAGGATAAGCTCCCGAATGCCTGACTCCATTCTCACCGTCACAGAGCACGGGCCGATGTCTCCAGAAGCATGGCATGAGAACCACTCACAGAGCCCTGAGTCTAGTGGTAGATGAGCAAATTTGTTTATTTTAGTAGCTTTGTATTTATTTTGATATGCGTTAGAAAAATACACCCAGAATAAATGCCACCAGTGTAGATGGTATTAGTTCAGATGAGGCCACATGAATCAAAATCAGATTTATTTAGAGAAGGGTATTCTGTAAGTATTATGTAATTAAGTATACCTCCAGTGCTTAGATTAGGAAAAACTAGACGGTGTGTGACTGCCCACACATGGCTTCTGAGTGGAAATGCTGGCTTAGGTTCCCACATCCGGGGGAGCCAGGGGAAGGGATCATGGCCTCTGGCCACCAGCAGCCTCATCTCTAAGCAAGTGTACCTGCCGAGGACCACGTCTAGGGGGCGCCGTAGCATAGGAAAGGCAGTAGAGCTCATGTACTGGAGATCCCTGCAGAAAGCCCCAGGGAAGGCCCCTGGTTGAGACAGAGTACCACTGAGGGGCAAGGAGATCCTCACCCCTCACTGTTCTCTCTGGACCTCAGATCAAGAAGGCCTTCTTTGCCCTTGTGGCCAACAGCATCCGGGCGGCACCTCTGTGGGACAGCAAGAAGCAAAGCTTTGTGGGTGAGGAGGGGCAGGGAGGCAGAGGTTGTGGGGAAGGGAAAAAAGATCCTTTGCGGTGATTCTTGGGCTGAGCTCTGACGCGCCGCAGGCTTGAGCAGACCCTCGGGCGGAGCCCAGCTGGGGGTTGGCACGGGGGACATCAGATCCCGGTCTTGTGGCCTCTAGGCGGGAGACCCTACATGTGGAGTCGGTGTGACTGGCTGACCGGTCCAGCTCTATTCCCATGGTCCCACGTTACAGGTGCTAGACAGGAAGAGAGGAGAGGAAGAGGGAGAAATTAGGAGCATAGAAGGTGAGGGGAGGAGAGAGATGACAGGGGAAGCGTAAAAGGGACAACCTCATTTCTCAGGCATGGGAGGGGGCTGGCCTGCTTCCCTCTTTCCACAGCTCCCACAGCTGTCTCAGTCCTCGGCCTCTGGCAGAGCAGGGAAGGGGGTCTGACCCTTCAGCCTGCCTCTCACCACAAGGCCCCAGGCTGACCCCCGCCCCCCGACCCTGCAGGGATGCTGACCATCACGGATTTCATCTTGGTGCTGCACCGCTATTATAGGTCCCCGCTGGTGAGGAGTGGGCTGGGGGTCCCGGGGGCTCCCATTTGGGCTGGGGCAGAGGTTGGCTCAGGGAGCCTGGCGTCCTGAGGGGCCCATGTTCTGACTTCTGGAGTCTGTCAATGTCTCTAGGTCCAGATCCATGAGATTGAAGAACACAAGATTGAGACCTGGAGAGGTGAGCTGGTGGGGGGCTTGGTGGGGGGACCTGGAAGGGACTGGGGGTGTGTGGGTGAGGGTGGGGCCAAGCACCCGAGGTCGAGGCTGGGCAGTGGGGATTTCCTGGAGGGAGCAAGGGAGGGGTGAGAGGGAGCCCAGGGGACAGGAGGGCAGAAGACCGTCTGGGAGTCAACTGGTGACGGGCAAGGCAGTCAGCTCCCTGGGCCTGACTCTGGCTTTGCCTACAGAAATCTACCTTCAAGGCTGCTTCAAGCCTCTGGTCTCCATTTCTCCCAACAGCAGGTAAGGATCCTCAGCCACCCACCTGCACCTCCCCACAGTCCCCTTCCCCAGCTCCGCAAGTCCGAACTCATGGGCTCATCCTGCCTGGGACGAGGCAGCCTGCACACCCTTTCTTCCTTTTCCATGGGCTGGGGTGGAGGGTGTCTCTCCCCCAGACCCACTGCTCCCACCTCTGCAGCCTGTTTGAAGCTGTCTACATCCTCATTAAGAACCGGATCCACCGTCTGCCTGTCCTGGACCCAGTCTCGGGCGCCGTGCTCCACATCCTCACACACAAGCGGCTGCTCAAGTTCCTGCATATCTTTGTGAGCTGGAGCACAGCCTCAGGGGGTCCCCGAGGGGGTCACACAGTCCTTGGCCCAACGGACTGGGAAGGGGGCCACTGGGAGCCTTCAGGGACCTGCCCCCCACCGATCCCCACCTGTCCCTGACCCACCAGGGCGCCCTGCTGCCCCAGCCCTCCTTCCTCTCCCGCACCATCCAAGATCTGGGCATCGGGACATTCCGGGACTTGGCCGTGGTGCTGGACACAGCACCCATCCTGACGGCACTGGACATCTTTGTGGACCGGCGTGTGTCTGCGCTGCCGGTGATCAATGAAGCTGGTACCTGAACCTGGGAGTGGAGCTGGCTGGGCTGGGGTGGCGGCGGCAGGCAGGGGTCTGGCATCGGCTCAGGACCCAGGGTGGAGCTGGGGCTATAGGTCTGCCTGCTTTGAGTCTTGGACCCATGACTTAGCCTCTCTGTGTCTCAGGCGTCATTTTGAAGCCAGTAGCCTGGAGGAGGTGTCCAGTAATTCCTTCTGAAAGCCAGCCCCTGGCCTTTGCACGGTATCCTGGTCCTGATGTGAACCTCTTCTCTTTCTCTCCCCACCCTCACCCCTGCAGGACAGGTTGTGGGCCTCTACTCCCGCTTTGATGTGATTGTAAGTGTGTGTGGGGATGGGGAACTGAGGGTGCCATGGGGAGAGGCTGTGGGTGCGAGGATTGGTGGAGGGATGTCTGTGGACTTTTACAGGTGTAGAGGGGGCAGCATCTGGGGTCTGGGGTCTGGCTGAGGGGCTGACTCCCATGGCACTTCCCTCCCTGCCCCAGCACTTGGCCGCCCAGCAAACCTACAACCACCTAGACATTAGTGTGAGAGAAGCATTGAAGCAGAGGACACTGTGTCTGGAGGGGGTCCTTTCCTGCCAGCCCCACGAGAGCTTGGGGGAAGTCATCAACCGCATCGTCCGGGAGCAGGTACCCCACGCCTCTGCCTACACGCCCCCAAGACATATGGCCCAGTCCTCATGAGCAGCTCCAGCTGTCCCTACACACCGGGCACCTGCCCTGTCCTCCCATTTCATGGCCATTCCAAGCTCTCGGTGTCCACACTGGTCTGCCACTGCTCTTGCTCCTGGGGCCCCCATGTAAAAGGGACACTTTGCATTGCCCCGAGTGGTCAGAGCCACCCCTAACTGATTTCTAGGAGACACGCTTTTCCTCCCCATTATGTTGCATTCATGCCCCTGATTCTTGGTGCCAACCTTGCTGCCTGCTGTCGCAACACGACAATGCCCAAGCCCTCACTGACCCTCTGTGCACCCACAGGTGCACCGGCTGGTGCTAGTGGACGAGAGCCAGCATCTCCTGGGCATCGTGTCACTCTCCGACATCCTTCAGGCACTGGTGCTCAGTCCTGCTGGTATCGACGCCCTCGGGGCCTGAGAGTATCTGAGTCCTTCCTCCCAGGCCACCTCTCACACGCCGAAGATGACGAAGGGAGCCAGGGGACCTGGCCCCCGTCTTCCCCCACCCCTGTTTGCTGGTTTGGCCCTGGTTCAGGTAGGCTCTACTCTGGGCCAATGGCCTCAGCACCTGTCCATCGATTTTTCGGGGCGTTCTCAGATCTCAGACCGGGGTACCTCAAGGATGGGAGTGGCTCAGCTCATGGCTGAGGAGCCCCGTGAAAACTCCAAGGGTCGGGACTCCCCATGGGGACCCCACTTTGTCCCCATCTCAGCTGAAGTCACAGAGGTCCTCCTAAGAGGGATGGGCAAAGCCTGGGGTAAAGGCAAGGACAGTGCTGTGATTTCAGATGCTCTCGGGAGACTGACTCGCCCTCTCCCAACTCAATTTTCACCTGCTTGGAATTCCACTGGAAGGAAGCAAGTCAATAAATCTTTGTTGAGTGGAATTTCCATGCTCAGTAGGAACTATGCTGACAGGAGGGAGCTTCTCTCTAAGTACTCATCTCAGTAAATCCTCTCAGACTCTTGACTGGTAGCATGCTTGCTAGGGACTCAGACAGACTCCACGTGCTTGGCCATGGATGGCGACACAAGGTTCCCCTATTGGAAAGGCGACCTCCCCTCCCACTGTGTACTCACTGTGTTCCCTTCTCTTTTCCCCACAGGCTTCTCCAGCCTTACCGTAATTGTCCCTGCCCTGCCTATGCTCCCAGAAGCCCTCACGAATGCCCAGTGCACCATGGGATGATGAAATGAAGGAGAACGGCTGAGTCAAGCCTGGAGATCCATGAGCCAGAAGCACTGGGATTATCCCAGGGCCAGCTGCCCTGGGGCCATCCGTGTCACTTTCCCCCTGACCTGGGGCGTGACCAGGCCCAGCGGGGCAGCAAGCCCTTAGCTGTTGGGGTTCACTGCGGGGCTCTGGCTTCCTCAGTTTCTGGATTGCCTGGGAGTCCCAGCTGTTCTCCTACAACCACTAACGTGGTTCCCCACTGCTGTGCCCCTGCCCCCCAGCTCCTCCCAGAATTGTCATTTCAGGGCTGTTGGTGGTCGCCATGGAACGGCAGCCCGGGGTGGGGTGGGGGGTCCTCCCTCGTCCTCATCCCGAGCACCAGCAAGTGCTGTTCTCAGGCCCTTGTGTTTGGATCACTGAGGATGAACCCTTGAGGAAGCATAAATGGAAAAAGAACAGCCCATGAACTTGAATTGTGGAAGTTTCCCTCAGAGAATGCCAGTCATTTGACCCGAACCTATGGCCTGACCTCTGTGCTTTCTGAATTCAAAGACACGAGGGAAGGTCTGTGATGGACACCACGACTGGCATTTCTTTGGCGCATAGGGTGTTAGCCCACTGAAATTCCTTTTTTCATCTTTTATTTATAACAAAACAATGAAGAAGATACGAATTAGTTAATTATGCAGTAAATACAACTCAGTCTACAAACTCATCTGCAGGAAACATAACTTTATTTTTCTAACACTGAATGGAGTTTCTGTGATGAACCCCACTTCACCAGGTGGGAGAAATGAGTCTCAGTCAGTTTGGGGCTCATCCCCCCCGCCTTTTCCTGGGCTGAATCTGGTGGGGAGGGGAGGGAAAGGCTTTAAGTAGTGTGAGACTTTGTTCCTCTGTCATCATCATTCGCGCATGGCCACACCAGCTAAAACAATCCTGTTCCCATCTTGTTGTCACTGGGTTGGTCATGGGTGGACCTGGCACCTGCGAGGTGCTCTCTCAGTCCCTGTCACGAAGCCCCCCTGGGCCTGCCTGCTCCTGGGGTGTGAGGACGTTCTAGTTCCCAGACCTGCACTCATCTGGGCTTCTGGAAGCTCTGCAGAGCAGTTCCAAACCCATCGGCTCAGACCGACAGCAAGTGGTCTGCTTTATTCTACATTTTGCTTTACTTCAGCCTCTACCCCGAAACATAGGGCACAGGGCTCTTCTACTCTTGTCATCTACAGATCTCTCTGGGGTTATTTGTCACACTCCCCCCTTCCCTTCAGATACAGCTCCCTTCTCGGGGCTCTCTTCTCAGGGGCCCCTGAAATGTGGACCTCAGAGATCTCCACATTCTCTTCGCTTCCCCAACCCTCATCAACCTAGGGAATCTTTATGAGTGGGGCCTTTTCTCTAACCCACTATGCATTCTTCCAAACCCACTGTACGTGTCTTGCGTTTCTTGCCACCTATCTTGAGGGTCAAATTCCAAAACCAAGACCCAGTTTCTGTGGTTTCATCCCTCCCCTGTGGCAATGGACACTGTAGGTCTGCCTTCCAGTGGGGAGAGAATAGGCTTATATTCCTAGAATACGATCCCACCTCATTCCCCTCACAGAGCAACAGAGTGGAGACATTTGTACCTGATGAGTCGGACAGCAAATGAAGGCCTTTTTTCATAGACGCCCAGCCTCTGTTTCCAGTTTTTCCATAACCCACGGTTCAGTGCCAGCTCTGCTCTGGCCCTCCCTGGGAAGGCCCGGGCCTTGGGCTCAAGTGGGATGATGGGATGGGGGTGCTTCTCTGGGCCTGTGTCAAGGGACAGTGTCCTTAGAGAGCCTGGGGCAGGCTGCCTCCAGCTGCAGTTGACTGGAGGCTAAGTATAGTGGGTCAGTCTCTGAGCAGTTGCCCAAGATGGCGCCCCATTAGCAGATTCAGGAGTCATGGCACTGACAGAAAGGGCATCCTGAGGAAGTCACTCCTTCCCCTTCTTGCTCCCCCTGAGAGTAGATAGGTCTCCAGCCTCCACCGTGCTGAGGACCCAGCCATTCCCCCCTGGGCCCTTCTGTGAGGGACCCCGCCATCCCCGCCAGCCCCCTGCTTCAGCCCTCCTTCTCGGATGACAGCCAGCCCTCAGTTCCCAATAGTCTCCAGCACCGTGGCTTCTAGAACAGAGTCTAAGGGTTGCCATAGGGACTACTCTTGAATAAAAGTGTGAAACCCACCCTGCTTGACCTTCTTTCATACCTCTGAGCCTGGGGCTGGCTACACTCTTCAGGCATCATTGGCTCCATCCCCCTGACTCCTGCCCCAACCTCCGAAGCGCCTTCAAGTTTCCGGGGCCTCCAGCCTGGACTCCCCTTGGGTTCTCAGCCCACTCCCTCTCTTCTCTCACACCATCTCCACTGCCATGTCAACCTCGGCAGTGCACCGGGATCCCCCCACCCCCACCCCGGAGCAGGGGCGGGTGGGGGAGCTTTATAAGATGGAAATTCCAGGGCCTATGCCTAGAGATGCTAATATCCTGACTTGGGGGTGGGACTTGGGCAACAGTATTTATTTTCTGTAGACAGTAGAGATTTATGATGCATAACACGTGATGAGCATGATGGCTTGCCGAGAGATAAGGATGCCTCGTTTCCATAATTAGGAAAATCATTCATCACGTTATTGCATCTGTATTATTTGTCAGGACTAAGATCTACAAGAAGAGCTGGCTAAGGGCAGGAACACAGTGTAGGAGAGACACAATTTGCTGGCAATCTTGCTGGCCTTCCAAACATCCACAAATACAGAAGAATTCAGTACGATGTCCTGTATACCCATCCTGTGATGGCAGTTGTCAGAATTTTTATTTGACATGCATCCTAAAACTGGAATCAGAAATAAGGAGTTGGAACCAAACTAGTATTAACAAGTCAAACCGCATCCAGAGCTAAAACATCTAAGATCAGGAGCAGGTAGACAGCCAGAAAACATCAGGTACTCGATTTATTTTTACTCCTGGGAGTGCTGCCTAAATGTTTTTCAAAAGGAAAAGCTGATTTATTTTCTTTTTTTTTTTTTTTTTAAGATTTTAGTTATTTCTTTGACACACACAGAGAGGTAGAGGGCAAGTACAAGTAGAGGGAGCAGCAGGCAGGGGAGAAGCTTCCTGCTGAGCAGGGAGCATGATGCAGGGCTCCATCCCAGGATCCTGGGATCATGACCTGAGTCTGTGACTTAGGTGGGCACTCCCTGACAGCAGACCCCTGGTGGTCCAGTGATCTGAAGGAACAGCCCACCGGAAAGGCAGAAGTGGCTCTGGTTGGTAGAAATCCCTGCCCCGCTCTGAGCCCGGCCCCCACGCTCTGCATGTATAAGGCGCTCTCCCAGCTAAATTCCGGCACAGGTAGGGGGGTCAAGAGCTATGCCCTTATCATCAGGAATTCCTCCCAATTCTCTCATGATTTCTTCCCCATAATCAGTAGGAAAAGCTCTGCATCGTCCCCTCTTCTTCCTTCCCCTGCCTACTCTTCCAGGCTCTTCTCATCCGACAAACGTTGATTAACTGCCTCCCAGGTGCCAGACACAGAGTTGGCCACTGGGATCCAAACCAAAAGGAGTGTGCTTTGTGCCCTCCAGGGGGTACACAGGTGGCTGGGGAGACAGTTGGGTTGCCGACAAGGTGAACAGGCTAAGTGCTCTGTTCTGTAACATTTGCGTGGGGAGGCGGGGAGCACAAAGGAAGTGCTTTTGCTCCCCCAGCGAGGTCAGGGGAGGCTTATTCAAAGGCAGTGACATTTGAGCCCTAAGGAAGAGCCCGTTCTCTGGGATGGCATCACCGATGAAGAGAGTGTTCCAAGGAGAGGGGACATGAAGAACCAAGTATTGAGGCCAGAAAGAGTGGGATGTGCTCAGGGCAATACAAGGAATTGGGTTTAGGCTGTGGAAGGGGTGTCTGGGCAGGGTGTAGGGGTGGAGGGCAGGGTGTTAAGAGATTTCTGAGCCGGAGTAAGGACTTAGGACTCTGCTTCAGGGCTGAGAGAAGCCACTGAAGGATTTTAATAAGGACAATAACATATAGTTATATATATATATATATATATATATATATATATATATATATATATATATGCATGCGCAATTTTTAATCTCACCAACATAAGAAATTCGACTTCAGTTTTCTATGACCCAGAAGAAATTTACCCCTGGGGCTAGGACTCTGTGAGGCCCGGACTCCTTGCCCTCCTCAAACCTGGGGTACACTCTGTCTGCACCAGCCCACTTTCCTTCTGGTAGGCTTCCTGTATTGAAGAGGTTGGAGAGCTAAAAACTACAATCCCCATACTGCCTTGCAGCTCAGGTTCCAAGGCGGCCCCCAGCTTCCAGCTCTT